TTTTAATTCAAACGTTTTTCTATTTATCTGTCACATAATTCATTATTATTAAAAGTGTTTTAATGCGACCCGGGGCGCGCCAAAATTTTTTTGTTACGTCGTTTTTTTTTTTCTTACGCATCAGATTTTCTTTTATATTTTATTTTTATGTAAACACAAGTACAATAATTCAATAAAAATTTTTTGGCAACTACAAATTGACATTAATTTTGTATTGATAATTTTGGATTGATAATATTTTTTTCATCTTTGCAAAGTTTCTTTTCTACTTCATATAATTAAAAGTTTGTGCCAATTTTTGATATCATGTTTTTTGTAGAAAAGAATAACGAAACGATTTTTCAAATAAAAATGAATTACAAAATAAAATGTACTTTAATGTAAAGCTCTTTTTATTTTATTAAATTAGAAATTGGCACCAGTTCTTCATATCACATCTTTTGTATCAATATGAAATTTATTATTAAACTTTTGTAGATGGAAATTTTTGTATAAAATTCTTTCTTTTACATAAATAAGAAAACAGGCGTGTGAACTTAATGTTATTTTTAACCTTTTTAAAAGGTAATTTTATTATAAAACTATACGGTGCTAGAAACTTTTTGCAAGTCATTTCTCATTTGACATCATAATTCAATATGACTGTAACGAGAAAGCCGAGTCTTTCTAAATTAGAAATCTTAACACAGATTTATAACAGAGTATTAATTTAAAAAAGGATTTTATCTGTCTTCACCCTATATTTTTCATGTGAGACATTATCTTTTAATAAAGTCTTATATCTTCCCATGTAAAATCACTTAACCGCACCTGCTCCGCGTATTTGTGACGAGAGCAGATGTGGAAATAGAAAATACAGAATAGGCACATCTACACACATACAAGATATACACACATACAAGATATACACAACAGCCGTATATGAAGGCAGCCAAGGAATGCCGTCATTCGTCATTCCCACCATATGCAGTTACATCAGTTGAGACGCAGTTCATTATAAATTATTATCTAGTATCTTGGAACAATGTCATCTTCGTTCAGTGATACTGTCACCTCGGTGAGACAAGAAGCGTTCAAAGACTTTTCATATTTCGATGAGGAAACTGTGCCTGTGGTGAGTACCAGCAGTATCAGTAATACCAGCAATAATTTTGTTCTCTTCATTCTTATTTGTACATTTTCTATATCACGTGCACTTAAGATCAAATATGCACTGACAGTGTTACCATTTGCCAACCCTGAGATATATGCTAACCGGAATGACTGCTGAGGTGCGTTCATAATACCCAAGTGCATCCATTATCTTATTCTTATTTATTCAGAATATCCTCCTGACTGTAAATCTTAATGAAAATATATTCATTCGACGCGGTTTTACTCAAAACGAAAAAATTCGGCAGAAAAACACGGCAATCTGTCTTGCTAAACAAGTTATTAAGCGAGGCTTTAAAGTTCGAGACTTTAGAGGTTAAGATATCTGTTCCCTAACATGCGTACGTTCTGAGTATGTTCTGAGAAAATCGCAATGCGTATATTGCGATCATCTCAGAATATTCATACGTACTGCGATCGACTAAATACGTTCTAAGTACGTTCCTATGTCCAGGGTAACACCTTCCATGGAATTTCGCCGCGAATATTCACAGCGAATGATGACAGTATTAGGAAAGGATAAAAACGGAAAGTTTTTCAATAGATTATGGTTGCCTTTCGATATTGACTGCTAGTACTGAAAATCTATAATATACGTGACACCCCTTATGGAAAATAAGTGAAAAAAAATGAAAAAAATTAAAAAAAAATAACAGAAAGTGATAAATTTTGTGAAGTAATAAATCTTTTATCTTGGTATTATCGCATGTTTCTAAAACGACCACTCATACAATTTAGGATCCTGCTCGATGCTTCATTTTTATGCTGGGATGAAATCTGCTACTGAAATGATGATATAAGTGAATACAGAATTTTGACATAAAATATCCTAACAACACATGTAAATTCTGAGATAATACGTAGTATATCGCATCAGTATATTGCGTATTATCTCAGAATATTCGAATACTGGAATATACGGAATAAATACTCCGAATGCTATTGTGTCCGCATTGTCAAAGTCCACACAGTTTTGTTGGGAATTACTCGTAATATACCGAAGAAATACATAAATTATTAACCGCAATATATTTTCAGTATGCCTCCAGTATATACGCAGCCTCGTGCACACGCTTCTATATACACATACTTAGAGAAAAAAAGTAATAGCAATTATATATATAGGTAGCAGTTATACAATTTTTATATATAGAATTGATACTAACAGTTCAATCAACTATTTTATAGTTATTATAAGCAGCTTTACTTGCAATAAATATAAAATAGTTAATGAAATTATGTACATTAATTTTATACATAAAAATTGTGTAATGTTATCACCTATATAAAAATTGTGTTACCTATATAATTACTGTCACTATATGTATCACAATCTTTTTTCCCTGAGTACACATACACACACACACACACGCGCGCGCACACGCACGCACGCACGCACACACACACACACACACACACACACACACACACACACACACACACACATA